GCAGGAATTGACAGTTCTGCTTGTAGCCTTTACAGACAGGCCAACAACTGAGTGCCCAAGATGAGCAAGCTAAACTCTCACCATTAGAGACAGTCTCTCTACATCAAAGGTGATTCATATCCAAGGAGCAGAACAAAGGAATCACCACTGTGAAACCCCAAACGGGTACACAGCAGGGAGCAACCGCCACCCGTCTCCTGCACCAGCACAAATGCTTCATTATATAAGAGAAAAGCCTCCCTCAGAAAATTTTTGTATGCATGATATAGTGTTCCTCTTACCTATAAGTCCCCCTTGCACATGATAGCAGGTCTTATGCATCTTCCCCATGAATAACTCCAGTCCAATGATGGCATAGATAATAATGACAAACAGCACCAGCAGGGCAATATGCAACAAAGGGACCATGGCCTTGATAATTGAATTTAAAACCACCTGGAGACCTGCAGAGAGAACAGAAGGAAGCACTTATCAGCAAGAGAACAAAATTTAGAGAGGCTATAAATTGCACAATAATACGTCATTTTTATTTCATTCCCCCTCACCCGAACTCATTATCTTGATGATGTAAAGACGTACATTTACAGATCACCTCCCTCTAAAAGATCCCCAACATTTCACAAGTTTACCATTGCAGCCTAGATCACAGACTAAAGTAAAAGAGGTATTACCTCACCTGTCACTGACATACCACCACCCCGGGGAGGGAATACATTAGCTATTTTGCCTGTTCTTAAAAGCCAGACCTAAGCTGATCCCCAGACAGTACTGAGGAGAGTTAAAGCATGGAAAAAACAAAGAACAACCAGAACTGAGGCAGGACAAGAACAACAGTGAGACACGCAAGAAAGCAAATGCTGGGGTACCACAGAGCTGCACCCCAGAGCATGGGGAGAGGTGGCAAACTGAAATCGTGTCCCTACTCTGATTCTGGGTTCTTCCAGAGGTCAAGTCAGTCTCAGGCAGAGCCTGAGCTGCTGAAGGCCCAACAAACCCATGCTGACTGGGAGCTCCTGCCCTCTTAGGATCTCCCTGCACTTCAGATCCACCTCACCTTCCTCCAGTCTGAACAGCGGGAGAGTCAGAACCAGCAGTGCTGGTTTTGCCCCGGGATTTAGGGATCACTCTATAACAGAGGTCGTTCAGGTCCCCAGAAGGGGGGATGAACAAAATACTATTACATGGCGGTTGTTAAGGCATGCGACTGGTGTAAGTCCTAATCACGAGTAAGCCACACATTACCAGGATGGTCCAGGGAAGGTGGCTTGGAGACAAGTTTGCTAAAGTGCTAAGCACCTGTACCTTCAGATACAGTTAACTCAAGCTGCAGATTCATGGGCTTCTCTGTGTCTCCTTCTCCTCATTTGTAAAACCAGAATAACAACGCCACTCTCATAAGCCTTTAGTAAGGATTTGCATTTACAAAGGCCTTAAAGTTATTATCACAGTGATGGCAACCACTGTCACTGGCAAATTATTAATGTTGGAAGTATTGAGAGACCTCTAGAACTCTATAGTCTACAAATAGCCAGATCAGAACAATTACGAGCTCATGATTTTGCAATGACTGAGAGCCAGAAGCTATTAGTGTCTCCTGCAAATGCTGTCATCTCCTCAGAGAAGTTGATATTAGCTGTGATTTTTGAAAAATATGATTCATGAGTTGTAAATGTCTGTTATACATCTGCCAAGAGAGTTTGTGATAACTATTAATGTTTAAAATCTATCATCTAAGATCTTAGATTTTCATTTTTATTACTTTTTTTTTTTACTAATTTAAATACTTTCTAATAAGGATGACACATCTCTTGACAAGCACTTTCACTCATAGGCAATCCACTTGTCAATTCACAACTAAGGCTGAGACTTTGCGTTTGCTCCCCAGCAACGGTGGAATGCAGCAGAAGCAACCAAAGGTGGCATCAGCTGCCAGGCCAGCAAGATCATTCGCTGCCTGCTAGTAATGCAAAGCTGGCTACTAGCATCCTTCTAGTCAGAACAGTTTTTCAGGTGTCTGCAGTCAGTTCAGTTATCTCTTAATGGTTCACGCTACTATCCAAAGGGAGTGATATTCAGCATGAAATATTCTGACTTTCACAAAGAGATCCTTACATGTAGTATGATACTGACAGGATCAAAACTCATCCTGTACAAGAGTGGGATGTCCTGCTCATTCAGTTGCCTCTAGGTACTTACTCTGGATAAGCAATGTCTTTGGCAAAAAAAATATTGCCATGATTACATGAGGCATTCAACCTTTTCTCCTCATTCAGTCTACTAACTCCAAATATGTACAAAACCAAATTGTAGTCCGTATCAACATCACTCCAATACTTACAGCAGTCAAAAATGTAACATTCACCAGAAAATTAAAAAAAAAGTCTCACCTTCTCCCAAACAACATACAAGAAAGTTAAAAGACTACAGATGGCTATGAACCTGAAAAAAAACCCCATAACTTTGCAGATTGAAATATTTGTAGCTTCAAATAAAGTTACGCAAAAGCAAATAAAGCCCTCCATCATTTTTAGTGATTTTAGGAGCCTTGTTAATCTAAAATGTAGCCAAGATTCCAAGGTCAAGAGCTCTAATACCAGGCCTTATGTAATTTACTCTTAATTATTATTATTAATTGATTTACTATTCATCATAGGATATACCCAGTACTCTTGAGAGGGTAGTGAGGACAGACACAATGATGAACAAAAAGCTCTCTCATCTTACATGTAGCTTCATTATCACCCATGCCATGAAAGTGCTTCAGTGTATTACAGATATCCAGAAAAGAGAACAACTGCACAAACCAATGCCCTTCGTGTTAACAAAGCACTGCTTGTGAAATCAAAGGCTTGCACCATAAACATGAGATGAAAAGGTGTTTAGACAGTCAAGGGGAACATGTACCACCAGAAGATTTACAGGAGCTTCAGCTAGCTTAATTAGAGAAAAGCTTCTTGACTATAATAAACCAACTTTAAAGAAGTAGTGAGCTACTGAATAGTGTTAGCATGAATTGATGTGTGTGCTGTGCAGTACCCTGTTAGGGCAGTCTAGTTTTAAATCCAGATGATTCCACTGATTAGCCAGCTTACATACATTACCATTAAAGTCTTCAGAAAGTTTCTAAAAGTTCAAAACCTCTAACTATGCAGCAACTTTAGAAATGTCCTCTCAGAAGATGTAACGAATGCTACCTGTAGAAGGGCAAGGGATATATGTGCACCACCATGCTTCCCGCATTGCTGTCAAGCTTATTGCTGCAATACAGCAGCTGCCAGTAAGTTACTTTATTATTCTCAGTTCAGGCAGCCACTTGCAACATGAATAGCTGTTGCAGGGAGTTGCATGAGGAACCAGGCCTGGACAATCAGAAAAGTTGGTGTAGTAGCAAGGGGGGAGAACAGAGAGAGCAGATAAAGAAGGATTAAAGGACTGGGGGAGAGCCATAGGTAGGCAGAACAGAGATTTTTTTTTTTTTTTAATTAAAACCCCACATGCTTCAAAACACATCAAATCTGTGTCCTGAAATCTGAGAGGTGCAGATCAGTGTCTGGATGATCAGATGCATTTCTGATCAGGGTAAATCAAGGCGGATCATCCCCTTACATGCAGATGCACAGCTTTTTCTAACCAATGGTGAGAACTTCAGCACACTTTCACATGCTCTTTCCCAGTGCAGAGGAAGAAAAGACAGTTGAAGTTATAAAAAAATGACTTCTCTATCCCAACCCATGCATGCTCTTAATCTTTGCACACTGCGATGCACAGATATCACCGAACATGGGTGCTCACAATATAGGAGCAATACAGTCCCACTTGCCTGATGCTCTCTCTAATACATCATTGCACATCTTTGGCATCTTCTCCCTTGCGGAGGTAAGGCTTGCACTCCTAGCAATGAGCTGTGCAGCTTATAATCATGATTAAATCAGAATGCCTGGTGACCTGATCAGACCAAAAAGCTGGCATCTGGATTTCGAGTAGGTGATGCCAATAACTGCCTTCCCACAGCAGAGTGAAAAGCTGTTTTTACACTGCTGTACAGAGGCTGGCAATGCCATTATTGGCCAACCATAACCACAGAGTCCTGAATTTATGTCCCAGCAAGTAAATATAAAAATAAATGGTTTTCAAATATTTGGCATTCTAAATGTACTTATTCATTTGTGGAAGCTCTCTCCGTATGCTAGACACTCTAGAGACATCCATGAAGGCACAGTATCTGCCTTGAGCAGGTCACTCCAGGCTGGACAAAGAGGTAACTTCACAGAGGTTAGGGAAAGTGCCACAAAAGGGATTGTTTGCAGTTTTTCAGCCCGCGCTTTTCTTCTGTTAATAATTGAAGATCTTAAACAGCTCTTAGTATTTATTCTAAAAGCACTTCAGTTTACATTTAAAAAAAAACCCTCTTGGCTGCATTCTGTTGGCTGACATTGACTCCATAAATGTTTCAGTAAGCAAAACACGTTAATGCAATTCCCTGGGCTCACAGAATTTAGCATTTATTTACACTGATAAAACGTTTTAAGTATTTATTACATGTGAACAACATTGCTTTTTATAGCAGGTCAAGCCCTTTTCAGCCTCTAGAAGACTGTGTTGAGCCAAAGGTTTAGGGCACAACTGGGGAGTAGAGAGAATGGGGAAGAGAGAAGGAAAAGAGCTTATACCAAGCAACATTGATCTTTCTCAAAGCTATGGGAAATACACTGTTAGGGATGCTGCAGGTGTTTTAGAGTTGTTATATGATGCAGTATTTTTCTCTCAGGAAGACAACCATGAGAGGCGCTGGTTGCTGTCTCATCAATTCAGGCAGTTACTGAGGAACGTGCTTATCTCTAAGCATGTAAGTGTCTGCACCTAAAGCAATAGGATTACCTACATACCCCATTGTGTACTTACAAGCTTTTTTGGATTTCAACCAATGCTCAGCAAGATGGCACAAAAAACCCTGTACACCGGACCCAGCTGCTAGAATGCACTTGGCATTGTTGCACTGTGGCACATATCCAAGGAAACTAATGGTAGGTTGGTCTCAGAAAAAACATTTGGGCCTTTCCAAGCACAGCTCTATCTCACATTTTCATGTGTCTTCAATTTTGGATCAAACTTGGTTTGCTGAACAGGGTCGTTTCCTGTTCTAATCTTATTAGTAGTCAGATCTTCAGAGAAAGCTTATCCTGAGTCTACTCCTTTATTAGTTTTGCAGGGCTACATTTTGCCTACACCATGGCGTTGCCTGAACCAGGAGTATGAGCAGGCACAATTTCATACAAATGACCTTCTGGGAATGAGCAGGATTAAAAGGGAAAAAAGAGGACTTTCACCTCCTTCCATACCGCCCCCCCGATACATACACACACACACAGATTTTCATACTTAAGCCAGTGCCAAGGGTGTGGGAGGTAATTATTTTTCTGCTAATATAGTTCAGAAGAAAACT